TCATCCTGAATGCGAGGGACAAATAGGCTGTATGTTTGTCGGGAGGTTGTAGGATAACGCCATAGAGAGCTATACATGTATGTTAGTGTAGGAGAATTCGGTTAGTATTATGTTGGAGTTGGCCTTGTAAATTTTTTTTTTGGGTTTAGGTTTATTTGTACTTCAAGTTATAGATTAGCATATATTCGTACGTTGTGTTATCAATACAATTACAATTCTAAAATATATGACAGTGTATGCATTGTTTATACATGATTCATGCACAATTTTAAAAGAATAATAATATCCATGCTCACAGTTTTAAAAATTTCCGTCTATGCACTAGGGCACTAGTCATTGCCTAGAGTTTGAAAATTAAGAAAGGGCAGCTAGACCTGGTTAGGCGCATGCCTAGATCTACTTAAGCACTTCCTATGTCGCGACTATTACTTAGACAAAAAATATGTAACTTTCATTTTGCATTATGTTTTAGAGGTATTTATCAATTTCCCCCCTGAACTTGTGACCATTGGCCAATTTTCCCCCTCAACTTTAATTTTGGCCAATTTCCCCCCTCAACTCTCATAATTAGTCAATTTCCCCCTCAACTTTAATTTGGCCAATTTCCCTCCTCAACTCTCAAAATTAGTCAATTTGCACCCTATTGTTAATTTTTTTTATTTTTGATTTTCCATCTATTCTTTTCTTAATTTTCAATCTTTCTAATAACTTCCAACAAAGTACTAAAATTAATATAAACTCACCTGCATAATATAGGGTAAAATGTACAAAAACATAATACAATTAGTATGTGATATGGGTTGATTATAAGAAAAAGTTATGAATTGGGTTTAAAGCATGTAGAAGAAGAAATAATAATCCTAAACTCATGGATCAGACCTATTTCAATAAAATGGGTTATTCTTAATAAGGAGTCGAAAATTATGAATGGACTAGCCATTTTTTCACTAAAGCTCGATTCTCCGCAATTTACTTGAACTTAGCTTTCACTTTTATAAAGAAAATTGTATTCACATACAAAAATTTACACATCAATCATTTTCGTTATCAATTTTGTATAGTCAAAAATCAAATAAAATTACTCCATACTGATTTATCATGACTAATAATACTATCTATGATAAATTGTAAAATTCTAAATTTTAATCCATTTGTTATAGGATAAAGATATAGGAACATGATTAACATACATCTTATTTAGTTTCTTACACACACTTGTTTAATTATGATCAAATTAAAAAATTAACAGTAGGGTGCAAATTGACTAATTATAAGAGTTGAGGGGGGAAATTGGCTAATGGTCACAAGTTTAGGGGGAAATTGATGAATACCTCTATGTTTTAATACTTTATAATCTATTGGATTCTATTTTGCATTTTAGGTCCCCTCCTAGCATCCTAGGTGTTAGGCCCCAGCTCACTGTCAAACTAGCACCTAACGTCTTTTAGAATTTTGTATACTTCTCACACAACTCAATTTTTGAATGTTGGTTCTAATGGATTGAAGAAGATTAATAGTAAAAAAATAAACAAAGTTGCGTAAAAATAGATGTGAAATAGCGTTATTCTTTTTAAGGTAGTTGGAGTTGGAAAATAAATTGAAAGGGGAGACAAGAGTTTTTCTTGCTTTTACGAAAAGAAAAGAAAAGTCAAAATAAAGAACAAAAATATATAAGATAAAGAAAAAGGCCCAACTGCCCAAATAATCAAACCCAACCGGTTCAGCTGGATTTAGACCAACTCTTAGGAGCGGCCCAATTAGTTCCAACCCAATGGACATACCAAGCGTGAGCTGGACGGGGTCGATGGGCGTGTTAAAACAAACTTTATGGCGCGTGTTTTAGCTGGACTAATCAGAGACTAATGTAATTTACTGGTACGTGCTTTATATGGTAAATAAAAAATTAGGTAAAAAAGAAGGAAAAATAGAAGGAACAAAAGAAAAGGAAAGGTGAGAATCCACGATCTTATATAAAGCACTATGTGAGTGTGTAATTCTAAAGCAGAGTTGTTTCCTGTCTCTTTTAATCCCGAATTATTGATCTTTTAAGTGTGCGTTTTATTTCATCTTTAATTTGTTTTTGTGATTTGAATTTGTGCGCATTAGGGCAAGCAGACGATTTTATTCAATTTGTGTAATCTAGGTTTGCACCTCCTTAATGTATTTCAAATTTGTGCTTATTTTCATGTGAAGTTCTTAGATCATCTCCAATTGAGAGAGTTCAACAGCTATTTACACTCTAGAATTTATGATTTATACTTAAAAGTAGCTTTTTTTTTTCATCCATCCTCCAATATAAATTTAGGCTCCTAATTGGTCGAATAATGGTTTTTCCCCATTATACTTTTGTTTAAACAATACTTTTTGTGTTATCTTAATTTATTTTTATAAATGTTTTAACTTTAGAATATTCAAATTGTGACCAAGTATGAAAAATTACACAACCAATCATTCCGACACACACTAACCACACTTCAATATGTTGTTAAACACACTAAATATTTTTATTTGGGCGGAATATGAGTTAACTATTTTTAAAAATTATTTTAACTATTGGATTTAAATTTGAGTTGTTAGATTCAATACCAAAAAATTAACTCATAGGAAAAAGAAATTCAAACCATGACTAATCATCCAACACTCACTAAATTGAGCGAGTCCACATGCACTACCATGCCTCTGATTCTCACCGGATTTAGGTTGACCTAAATTCTTGTGTAAATTTGGTTTGGGTTTGGGTTTTAGGCTTGTGTTGGGGACATTTTTAGAATTTAAACCTCTACATTTAGGGTTTGGGTTAATAAAACTCTGGTGTTTCTTTGAGGTCAATCTTCAATTTGTAAAGAATTTTTTTTAAGTATCTGCGTTGTGTCCGAAATTATGTGTTTTTTTTTAGAAGCGAAATTGGATAGTGAATTCGAGCTCGTACTTTGGATGCAGAGTATACGTTAGTAATATTGGTATATGTTTTTGTTTCCAAACAGATATTGAGTATATGTAATGGAGGGTTCACCAGATATATTGTGGTGTGCGCATTGTAGAGATCTTATTCCTCCGACACAAGATAACTACTTTACGTAAGAAATTAAACACCTTATTATTATGCTAATTACATAATCAATTAGTTGAATCAGTTCAAAGAATTAGCAGAATATTGGATACTTCTTGTATTAATCACTTCTTAATTAACTGTGTTCTCTTGACCAGATCTTGTAGTGCTTGTGGAAAAGTTCTATATCAAAGTGTCATTACTACCGAGCCTGCCCTTGTCAAAAACCGCGGAACAAAGGTAACATGCATTGCATATTCCGCTTGTTGGCGTGAGATTCTTACATACAACTGAGAACACATTCTTGTAATCATACGATACTCATTATGTGACGAATGTATGACTCGTCATATAGGGCAATTGTAAAACTCTTAGCATTCCTGATTCTTTTACTGCTACTGAGATTTGTTTCTAAACAATCTGTTAAATTTGTAATTTGCAGAAGACGAGGGCAGGTTCTTCTGTAATTGTGAAATCCATCTCCAGTGACCATTCACAATCATCTAAAAGGACTTTAAATAAAGGTATGCGGTTGTTATTTCTTTTTACTTTTTATCTGATTTGTTGACTTGCCTTATCATACAAAATATAATTTAGATCTCTCCTTTTTCTATTTCTACAGTGTTGGTTTTAATCTATCAAAAACTATTCACAAATTTCTCTCTCTCTCTCTTGAAATTAGGGTTCATGTCAAAATCATCTGCAGAAGCAGCCCACAAAATACTCAAGAAGGTTAGTGTCTGACATAGCTGAAAGCTCGAAGTCTTATATATGTGACACTGGCATCTTGTTTTTCTCTCTTCTTGACAATAGTTGACATGCATAGTGGAGAAATTCTTAGGTGCGGTGCCCGTACAACGTGGTTGTCTGACCACACATACAAAGCACCACATCCTACCCTATATTTAGCCCGTCTAACCCCTTTGCGTCTTGTACCCTATACAAAGTTCAAGAAACAATAGTCTATTGTGTAGGAGTGGAAAAAAAAAAAACCAAGGAACTGAGAAAACCGATTCAACTAGCCTGATTAGTGGATTTGGTTAGAGCATAACCAAGCCAACTAGGTGAGAGTGATTCAACCGACAATCAAGGGGCAAACGTGGACCGAATTGAACCATGCCCACTCATTTTGTTATAGGCCGGGCCTCATGATTTTCAAATTGAGATTGCGTTAAACACTTTAATTTCCTATTTGTACATAATTATATTTTGCCTTGCACCAAACATATAAGGTAATGTGGCAAAACCGTACTCCTAATCCAAAGCAAAAGTCCAAGGGCACAATAATTCGTGACTTTGAAATGATGCAGGAGCATGGAAATGTTGGAGGAGCTGCAGATTGCAAACCCCACGTTGAAAATCAAGAGAATGTTTATGACTGTAGCTATGATGGTGATGATGAGGATGATCACAATTGATGTTTTGGGTGTTTAATGTGTCCTTGTTTGCATTTGTAGTAGCCTCATCCGTCTGATAACCATGTCCCATCTACCAATCAAGTTTTTGCGGTGGATCCCTTCATATCACGTCTTCTAACACACAAGATTTATACGAGTTTTAGAGTCCGAGTTTGTTTTTCGTTGTAAATGACAAACTCAATAATACGTTTAATTAGTATAGAAAATTAATGTCGCATAGACTTGTGTAGGTCTAACAAAATGCAGTTTGGGCTCGTTTAGAAATGTGTTTAAAATGACTGAAAGTGCTTTTGGTGAAATTATTTTTGAAACCAATCCTTAGCAAAAATCCAAGTGGATCTTGAAAATGCACTTGAAATGCTTCCTACAAGAAGTACATATTTGATACTTCTTCCAAAAGGTACTTAATCAATTTCACCAAAAATGTTTTTAGTCATTATAAAAGTACTTCCAAACGAGCCTTCATTGTCTACAAAGCACAATTTTGGAGCACGAATAGCAGGTAATTGGATGTTATTGTTGATTTATTACCGTTTCTCTTGAAACTTAATGGTTTGTTATTTCATAACCAATACTAATTAGATGATTTTTCTCGTTTACATATATACACATACCCTAACTTGCAAATTAAGTAGGAAATTATTCTTAGTATCAAAGCAAGAACACGAACAAAAACTTGCTTAAAATCACACAACTTGAACTGCTGTCATGCAATGCCTGTTATGCATCATCTCTAGCAAATCTACGGTCAGCATCGACTCCTTAGGCTTCGGTCGCAGCCTGGCGGAGTCTCCCACGGCCAGAAGTGGCGTCGATGTTGTTCTTTTGCAGGGGCCGAGCCACTTTGCTTGCATGTACTTCTGCTTCCTCCATGGCCCCATGTGCATTTTCTTTTCCTGCATGCATTTCTTGGCGGCAGAACATAAAATTTTTATCAGGCTTTGCAGTCTCTCAACTTTGCCGACAAAAACTTCAGGGAGTTTTTGAACCAGATCGTTGTATTCGTCGCTCGCTCGAGCCATCTCGAATTCGTCTCTGAAGTTCAGCTCTATGATCACCCTCACCTCCCCCTTCTTTAGACTTGAATTGTTCACCACATCCAAAAATGAGTGCTCTCCTGAAGAACATAGAAAATAATCAATGAGATGTTTGCTTACTTCATAATTTAAAAAAAAATTAGGTTCACATTCGTCTTTTTGTTACTCCATTGATTAAAATCCTATTCATTTTCAATTTTTGATCAAGGTCCTTGGGTATTAATAACATCATTAATTATTTGAATAATAAAATATTTTTATTTTTAAATATATTCCTTTAGTGTTAAAAATGTTACAATTAGTATATTTATATTTATGGCTAAATTTTTTATGATATATTTTTATTTTTAGTTTGTACCTATTTTTAATTTGCAAATATTTTTTAATTTGTACCCATATATTAGTTTCTTTTTGTGCCCATATTTTTTTAAAGTTTTATTTGTGTTTCTATCCATGTGTATACCGTCACGTGACATTATATATTTAATCAATGATAGAAAAATTACATATGGTATATTTATGCTTTATGCCTAAACTTTGTATCATATATTTATATTTTTAGTTTGTGCCCACTTTTAATTTGCAACATTTTTTTTTTTAAATTTGTAATATTTTCTTTTTAGTTTTATTTTGTACCCATGTATTAATTTCTTTTAGTGCCTATATTTTTTAAAAATTCATTTGTACTCATAAGTTTCTAATCTTTTATTTGTACCTTAATTTATTTATAATGTACTCATTCTTCTTTATTAATATACCACTTTGTTATATGTGAAATGTATCATTTTTTTCGTAAAATGTACCAATTTTTTTAACACTATAGATACATTCTTTTGCCATTTATTATTTCTTATTTTTACATAGTTTTTATCCATTTATTCAATTAAAATGTTTGAATTTTTTTATTGCAACCGTTTCTATTAGTATTATAATGAGGGATTTTAAATTTATAAGATTATAAATCTCATAAAATATCAAACAATTAATGTCAAAACTATAAAAATATAAATATAAATAGTAATATAATAAGGTGTACAAAGTCAAGAACTTTGATCAAACTTTGAATACTATTAAGGTTTTAATCAAAGAATGTTAAGGACTAAAGATCGCATCTAAAGTATCCTTTAAAATATCAATCATTTGACAAAAAAAAAAAAAATTACCCGACGACAACGATCGTCGCGCAAAACCACGAGTCTTTATCTTAATATATATATGGTAGGTCAAAAAAGAGGTATGTGATGGGAAATATATGAATTAATAATCTAATCCGATTCCATTTAACACAAAATTAATCTGATTCATTAATTATATATTTTCACAAATAATGATCCAGTATATGTTTTAACCTGAAGGAATGTCCGGTGAACTCCTCCACTTAGACTTGCACATGGCACTGTTGTAACCAGCATTGCTAAGTCTGCCGGAAACTTCTCTCATGAGGCAGCTCCGGCAACCGCTCGCCATCGGTTTCCGGCAACCACACTCCGTCTCTGACCGCTGTATCTCCTTCACCGCCTCCCTTGTCAAACTTCTAATCCTCGTCTCTAGAGAACTAGTCCTGTATAAGGTAGCCTGCAGAACATATTTGTGTAACCATTAATATCGTGCTCGTATAATAAACAAATGCTTATGTTGTTAGACTATAAATTAAAATTCATCGTCGGATACCATAACATACTATAAGTAAGATCAATTACTTGTAAAAGTTGGTGCTGTTTTTCCCAAAACCTCTTGTCCTCCTCCTCCTGATCTCCGGCTTCCTCTTCTTCATCTAACAAAAAGGCGTCATTTTCTTGGCTTCCGTCGCTGCTGCCGTAACTTTCCGGAAACTCGTGGCCGTCTTCGAGGAACCCGAAAACCATGCCGGAAAAACTCGCCGCTAATAACACTCGAGCGGTGGCCGGAGCTGCTCTTGCCATTCACGTTAATTGCTACTGAATATTTCTAGCTGCTCCACAAATGGTGTGACTCGATTGGCATGAACCATGTGAGAGATGAGATCGGATTTATATACAAAACCCAAAGTTTGGATCAAGGTGGGGCCCACCAAGCCAACGTGGACAAACGAGCCGCGGCGCACATGATGCGGGAGGTCTGGTATTCTTACGTGGATGGATATGATTCGGGGATGCAAATCGAACCGGTTTCTTAGTAATTTTTGTGAAGATTGGACCGGACAGCAAGATCCACGTCAGTTTTCTCCAATTATTGCAACAGGGTCTATCAGGATATCCTCGAATATTATCTACACTAATTAAGATAAGAGTGAACTTAATCTCATAATAGATTTGTAATAAGATTGTTCAAATTCGCATTTTGCGATGATCGAACTTAAAACCTTTCACTTACAAGTGAAGAAAAATACCGATATTCTAAATGTTTTATTTATAATTGCTAATTGTTTGATAAACATAAATAGCTAAATCGTTTTCAAATTCAGTAAATTTTCTAAAAATAATTATTATATAGCAATAAGGAAAATGAACTATTCTTACAAAAGAAGAGTGAATCGAAACTCTCTTTGTCAACTAAAAAAGGATGAAAAGATAACTTAGTATTCTATCACACACGAAAAATGATGGGGCAATAATATAATTTCACAGGTTTAAATTTTATTGTTTTTTTATTGCAACCTCACATGCAGATGATATTAAAATATCTCTAATATTTAAAAAAAAAATAAAATAAAAAAAAACCTGTCACTCCCACATTATCTCTCTCTCTCTCTCTCCCCCTTCTCATTTTCTAAAAAAATGTGTAAGCAAATGCAAGTTGTTGATAGATATTGTTATTCACATACCCATTTTTATATTTTACACGTCTTTGTTAATTTTAGCCTTTCAGCCACTTCAATTCATTAGATCAAAAAGCCAAAAATTAAAAATGTGTGAAAAATAAAAGAGTAATGTTAAAGATACTAAATTTGTAGACTAAATTTTGTAAATTAAATAGTATGAAAGTTGATGATTTAATTATTACTTAAATGTTGATAAGTGTGATCATTTTTTATTAATGATACATCATTTAGTTTACAAATTTATTCTCTCTAGCATTACCCAAAATAAAATAGAACTGTGACAGCAATATAGAGTCTATTAATAATATAACTTAAAAGTGATGCATCTCTATCATGACCACGTGGGTGGTGGGTGCACCAGGGATGAATGATTAAGATGACTTTTAGTTGAACGTCTCAGATTTTACAATGTGGATAGATCTAAGCCGTCGATGATCGAGCTTTATCCAAATAAGGGGTCCACATGTCACCCCACTAACCAACGCATTATTTCGCACATTGTTGTTAATAGCGAAAAAGAATAGGATTATGTTCAAAACTGTCACACATACGCGGCGTCGCGACGTCGCCAATCATCCGGTTTTCCGCATAAGGACAAGGAATTGTTTGGCGACGGTGGGGAGGAGAACTTAAGGGTGTTTTTGTCATTTTGATGGCCCAATAATCTTGTAGCATGCCTATAAACGCGTCTACGTGCGTTCAATTTGTCTCTTCAGAAAAGATTAGTTGGTGGATTGATTATGATAAATCATTTTTTTTGAGGCATGTCAGCATTCTTTGATCATCATCGTTTTATTTACCAGCTACAGAAACCGTAACTTAAAACATCTCATATAAAATACGAGTATGTGATTTGTGCCTAGTTATTAGACCATCTCATTACGATTCTGTCACATGTAGAAACAATGATAAAATAAATTATTTCACTGTTTGGCTATGTGACATTTGAGAATGGATGATGTGACTGAATTCTTATTTAAGTTTGGTGTTTTACATGGCTAGATTTTGAAATTTATCTTCTTGGAGTCAAGATGAAGCATGATTTCGACTTTTTGCCAACCGCATTTATTTTGTCAAACATTTTGTATGCGTTGCATATTTACAGTCATGTTCATGAATATAGGTTGCATTTTTTTGAGTACTCCTATACGAGTATAAAATTTAAAACACACCTAATATTTTAAACAATTTTTTTGGGTTTTTCTTTCTAGCATATACCTACTTATACTATGTATAAAAAATTAATTGTCCACATTGTATTAGCTAGGCATACGTATCTTTCTTTTTTTAAAAATGATCAGCTGGTGGTTTCGTTACGACAGTCTATCATTTTGAAGGTTGAAAAGATTCATAGAGACATTTCAGCCTCCTCAACCATCGTGCTGCTACTAGAAATCAAATCTAAGATATACCGTGTGAAATATGAATCTAAAATTCGTTATCAACTATTGAGCTACCTATTGGTGGTTGCAAGGCATAACCGCATAAGTATCTGCAGGTTGGTTAATTAGGTCTTTCACTATAATATTAACGGCGCGACACGTTTACGCCCAAATGTACAAATGATTATAATCCTTCCATAATTCAATTAAAATATCCTCCACGTAGTAGCTTTGTGTTTTGCCTTTTCATGTTCATATACACCCCGCTATATTATATTTATTATTTTCGTCTGGTCCCCCTAATTATTTTACTATCGGGGCTCAAATTAAATTTATCTTCTTTATTAGTTGTCTATTAATTTATGGTAATACCATCTTATAGTTAATTAATCAAACCTTGATTCCCATCACACTTACAGTTGGCTACCATTTTTTTTTTAACTTTTTAAAATGATTATTATTAAGAGAATCTGGAGAACCCAAAACTATGACAATAATTAGACGAAGGAAATGTTTCGAACCTGGAACACATAAGTACAAATCTAACATCTAAAATTTATTAAGATATTGGACCACATGCAAAGTTGGCTACCTCAAACTCACAACAAAAGAACAACATGAGAATCAAATTTCACTGAATGCAGATACCTAACCGACATTGTTTAATAATTTAGTCGACATTGAGATCTTGTAATGATCTCCCAAACCCATAGTTTTTTGTATACCTTGATAGTTACTGTTTTCCTAAATATATAGGTTGGTGCTTTGTTTTGAGTCAAATTTGAACAGATTTATTCTACCTTCGATGATAGCAAGTTTGACCAGTTCAAAATTGGATGACAAAATCAAGGTTGTTGGGCTGGTACATAGACAACAACATTCAACCACTTCGTATAGGAAAAGATATATTTACTGACGGAGTCAGGAATTTTATGTGTGAGGGGGTCCTTTACATACATACGTAATTTTGAACTTACGTGAAAGATTGGAGTAATTTGCATAAAAAAATTAAATGACCCTAAATTCAATAGAGAGAACTAAAAACATTTCACAAACCCAGAAACCCAAATATAAGGTAAAGAGTAAGCACAATTTAAAAAAAAAAAAGTTAAAGCCAATGAAAAGTTGAAACAATAAGGAGGGGAAGTGAAGACTGCATTGCAAAGAGATGGAAAGAAAAATGAGGCCTAGCTTGGAACAAAAAAACATTTGAATTTAGAACACACTTGAAATTTCAGGTTATTAGACTGATATGCAGCATCATCTATTATAGTGGCAAGAAGAAAAAAAAAGGCAGGATGGGCTAAGGACCATTCTGGTCCCATAGTGGTTTCACCATTGGATATATACACTAGAGTTGCATGAAGATGACGGCTCTCACATTGGATATGATCGCATTGGATTGAGTGAGACAAAAATACCGCGAGAGTTTCATATTATTGCAAGAGGTGTCACATTAATGATTGCTTAGTCGATACATGATACCTAAAATATGATTTGTTCTCAAACAAGTTACAATTTATTTATGAGTAAAATGTTGATTTTTCCCTGAACTTTTATTTAACTGTCGACAATTGGAAAATTGAGGACTTAAACTAATTTTTTTGGCCGATTTCCCCCTAATGTTAGTTTTCACTCATTCCATCAAAATTTTTGTTAAATAGAAGTACATGCACAACATGTGAGGGTAGTTCGGTCACTTTGTTCGTTAAAATAATTGAAAACCCTAGATTTTTAGAATGTCAAACTATGCAAATCTATGTGATTCTATAGCTTTTGTGTTTGAAGGTTTAGCGAAGTGACACTTTTGTCCTCAAAGTAGAGGTACGTGGTGTGCATGTGATAAGATTTAACATTAATTTGGATGGAATCTATGGAAAACTAACTATAGGGGGAAAATTGGCCAAAAAAATTAGTTTAAGTTCTTGATTTTCCATTTAAAAAGTTTAGGGAAAATCGAAAGTTAAGTTAAAGTTCAGGGAGAAAGTCTGCAATTTACTCTTTATTTATTATTTGAATCTTGATTATAATAATAAATTGAACACGCATATGGAAATGTCTGGATAAAAAGCTTGCTCTAAAAGGGATAAGAACAATATTAGAATATGACAGAAAGGGATTTTGGTAAGCTTGTATTGGAAATAATTATTATTGCTTTTACTTAGTAAATTAATAATTTGATCACATACACTACATGTGTTCAACATGCTTTTGTGAACATGCATGTATGTCCCATATCGATCTGTATTGACTATAAAAAACATTCAGGTGTGGTGTTTATCTGAATCCTTTACTGTCATGATTAGGGTTTATGATTTGACCAGATTTGATGATTAGCTTAGGTAGCTAGATAAGATCGTTATCTTCTCTTCCAGCCTTGTTCAAATCAGATACGTATACGATGGTGGGAAAGACCTATTCCGATTTGGTATACAACTGGATAGCAGCTTAATTAAGAGAGAAAAATAAGGATGGATTTGGTTTTCACTTAATTATATGTATGAGTCGTTACTGATACGGTATACTTGTATAAGTGACGTTATATCTGTATGCTGATTCTTTGTGGTTTTTGTTTGCCTACTTCTACATGATCTTTGTTGGCTGTCCGTTTGGACTTCCTTGAATGAATGAATCGCCAACTGACCAAATAAAAAAAACTATATTTTGAAACGTAATTAGTTACAATTTTATAACGTCGAAGTTTGATTAATTAAACGCAAAGCAAAACTTAGAAATATCCTAGATAATATGCTTTGATCAAAGGATCAGCACTACAAACGATGAAGGTTCTAGCGAGAAGTACGTAGCA